CTTTTTTTCTTTTTACTTGACTTTTTTCAAAGCATCATGAGGCAAGTAGGAACCTAGAAAAGGTACTTTGAACTACTCCCGCCCACAGAACTTACTTCAAATACTGTGAGACTGTACATCATTACATATTCATTCTGAGTATTGGAGAGGAAGAACAAGCAGTGTCGCCACGCTCCGGTCTGCTGAGCGAAGTTATTCAGCAGCTCTTCTGCAAAAAATAAAAATAAAAGCACTCATGAGATCTTTTAGAAGTACGACACTACAGTACTTCACGGACAGACAAACTGAAAGTAATATGTAGCAACACAGGAAGTGTATAAAGACACTATGCAAAAGAGTACATAACATAAAACAAATGCATTCAAGTTTACTGGAAAGCATCTATACCACAGTATAATCCTCTATGCAGCAGGTTGTTTTGGGGGCTCAAAATTAAAAAGGTAGATGAACTATCACGTAGGAAAACCATAAACCAGATTTTAATAGATTTTGCATCAGAGTAAAATACAACTCATAAATTTAACTGAAGTCATTTAGGCTTTCTTCATCAGTGCCAGCCGAGAACTGACAGGAAACGAGGACGTCGACTCAACGTGCAATAACGGTTTAGTTTACATTTAAACTGCTGGAGACTGATCACGTGATGCTACGTCACTGGTTCAAATTCTTTAAAGAAGTATCTCTGACTGTAATTATACCACCTGAACTAATCAAACACAGGATAGTGAAAAAAAAAGTATGAAATGAAAGAACTACATGTCTAAAAAATGTAAATGAGAGCAAAAATGTAGTGACTGGCTAACAATAGCAACAACATTGGTGGTGTTTATGTTGCTTTGCTCTTGTTTAAGTAAAATATTTTATCAATTATTTAGCTTCTTGCAGAGCATTTTAGCAATATGTAGTTATTTAGTTACTTATATGTTTAAAAATAGTAATATGAATTGATTGGAATATACTTTTCTATTTTAACCGTTTGATTGCTAAACTGTTCCTTGACAACTACAAACACAAGGTTAAAATCACAAAAGACAACTGATTTAGATGAAGAACCGTGGGTGACACATCCAAGATATAAACTACTGAAGATTTTATGTACACAAGACTACTGAAGCCACACCACCCTTACCTTTCACATGCTAACACAGGTCATTGATTGAGGGGTAATGAAAATCCCAGCACGGATGAGCCAAGTCTTTCCAAATTTTTACTCACCTATTTCTCTTTTCCGCTCATTGGTGGTACAGCTATGAAAGAACTCTGTCATAAGGTTCTCCAGCGCACGCAGAGATGCCTCCTCTGAAGCCTATAAAATAAATTATTTTAGGTTTATGCACTAGTACATGTTTTATCTCTGTAAGCACTGAAGCTGAAAGATAAAACCTTTTAGCATACTTTGCTCAAATTCCACCCTCCAATCTAAATACTACGTGCAATCATATAGAACAAAAGCATTATAAATATGTCTTAAAGGATCTTTGCAAAACCAAAGGAAATATAAAAATAAGAGTCTGCAGGAAGATGGATACATCTCAGCAAATTCATGAGCTGAAAAATAAATTAAAAAACAAAACAATAACCTAACTTGCAGTCCCTCAAACATGTCCGGACCTGCAACTTTTATTGTCTCACTTTCAACAACAAGGTCACAAGAAGGCTCGAGGATTGCTTGTGTGTATCTTTGCACAGCCCTCTGGGATCTCACAGATCTGTAATCACGTAAAGCTCAGATCTGCACAAGTGAGGAAGAGCAGTCCTCCTCGGAAACCGCAGATGAGCCAAATTGACCCTTTAAAAGAGCGGTCCCTGTGTGGCAGGCAGGCAGGTTTAAATTCCTCAAATAAGCCACAACTTGTCGAGGCTCAACAATACTCAAAGCAAATATTCGGTTTTGTAAGATGGGCGTCTTTGCGGCGAAAAATGGCTCAGAGCTGTCAAACACCTCAAACCGTTAGGTTTCCTTCAATAMGACATTAGCTCCGAGCTGACTCTATTTACTTATGAGATGCATCAATGACGATCCTGCGTTAGTTGGAAGGAAATGAAGACATTAGGACGAATTRTGACACTTTACTTACCATATTCGGCTGGCCTCAGTGTTCCCAGTTGCTGATTAATTAAAGGCCAACATTAGTTACCCCGGCAGGACAGTCTGTGCTAACATTAGCTAAGGTGTTGCTGGTAACAGCAGTCGGTCTTCATCACGGTCTGCAAGGACTCGACTTCRCTATAAAATATACGAAACAATAAAACATGCACTTTTTTTTTTTTTACCTTACTGGAGTAAAACGCGACCAGCAGACACAACGGTTTAACAGTKTAACCAGCTATTTCCAAATAAAAAAAGATTTGCTGCCATTATTAGCGAGTTTTTACAGCTAAGTTGTTGCTTTTTWATCTAAAACTGAGCTAGCTTCGGCTCGTTCAGCGCCCGTGGAGTGTGAGGCACTGGTTAGCGTTCAGTGTTTGCCATTTCGACGCAGAAATACCTAGCTGCTAACGCTGTAGCGGATGGCTAAGTTGTTAGCTTTTCTGGAAGGATGAGTTCTTCATTTTCAGCGGCTAGCAGATCGTGTCAGCCGTAGCCATGCTTCTGCCGGTCGAAATGTCTAAAGAGTTTAAATTATCTAAACTAACCATTACACACATTTATGATAAAACTGTGCAATGCTACACACGGCGGTTCCTGTTGTTTCTTTTTCAACGTGTTGGGCGGCTCAGGTCTACAGCTAGCTGCAGCAGGGTCTGATTCGCAACTTCCTCTTTCGACACGACCACAAGCTGCAGGGCAGGCCTGGAGGCTCCCGTGTCATAGCGCTCATCTCATGACATGGGCAGGAACAACGGCATCTCTCGAGGGTCAAAAACGTGAAAGGCAATAAATCCAACCGAGAAACAAGAAGTATACAGGTTATTCCAAGTAAACGTATACAGAATATTCTAACTTTTTAAAAGGTTTTGTTTTTAAAAGTTACGAAGTTGGAAAAAAGAACAATAGAAAGAATATGTAAAAAACAAATAAATAAATTAACATTTCGATTCAATCAGTAGGTGGCGGTAATTCACACTTAGTAATTTAACAACCTCTACAAAACACCACAAGAAGAAGAGAAAGAATCAAAAATATTTAGTTTCTTTTTTTTAACTCTCCATCTAGAAATTTATAATTTTAACAAACTGAATAGAAACGTGTGTCTCAGTAAAACCATGTGGTATTCTAATTTATTAAATTGGATGATGATTCTTCTATCAAGAAAATGTATTTAGACAAAATACTTATTGTGTGTTTCTCTGCATGACTTGGTTTTTAACAGCATTCACAAGTAAAATGACTGACTGCAGCAAAAAAAATAAGTAAAAAAAATGCTGATTCCATGCTCATAAATAGTATTTAATACATATAGGCATTTCTTTTGTTATTGATATACCCAGTCTCCACAACCAACCCAGTTAGTGTAAAGCCAAGAAAGACACCAGTTAAATCTTTCACTCTACACTGTGTGGTTTTAAATACACTACAAAAAGTTCATAATGATCTCACAGGCAAACTTTTTCATGGATCTGTAAACAGGCATCAAAATACTACTTGATTAAATACTCTGTCAACTGAACCTGATTTAAGATGACAGAATAAATCAAAATTTAAATTGTGTATAAGTACAAATTTATTACCAGACAAAAGCAATGATTCAAAACTCAATAAAAGTCCATGTTAATGAAAGCTGTCTGTCTTAACAAGAGATATACAAAATATGTATTTTTGTTAAATCAAACACAATGTCTGTGTATGACTAAATGTACATTAACAATAAAATATAGTTGTGTTAGGCAGACTGTGCAATGTTCAAAGAAAAAAATCCAAGAGCTTCTTATATCATGAGCCTCATACATTTCATGAAAGTATAATTGGGTCAAGACTAAAATGATTTGGTGTATATATTTGACATGAGTGTCTTCTCAAAGGAACACGCAGGTTAAGGTCCTGTCACACTACAATGTTTTACACAACTTATAATTTTTTGTATCTAAATTACTAAAAGTTACATGTTTGATCAGTTTGTTAGCATTACAGTATGTACACGCTTAAAAGAGGCTTCCAGACGAATTTTTTTTAAAAATTCCATCTTCAACGTAGATGTCTTTAAAGTTTTCATATGTTGGCATAAGTTGTTTAAAATGTTCTAATGTGACAGGGCCTTCAATTTTGCAAAGCCATATCTGAACAAATCACAGGAGTTCATGAACAGTAAGTATCCTTTGGACAGACGAGATCAAAGAAGAAGAAATGTGATGTTCACGAACGAGTCAGTTGTTTTTGAAATGGCTCCTCACAGCAAACGATAGGAAACGAGTCGCAGGCAGTAAAGAGCTGTTTGTGCCTCGCAGTATCTTTATTTTCTCATCCTTAACAACAGAGAAAATCACCTCTGTTTCACTTTTTCCACAAAAAACAGGCAGAGCGGTGGAGTACAGCAACTCATGACGTGGTGACATATTTACCCTTGTGATGACATAACTCTTATAAAATCAAACAGCTCTTTTGAACGGATCTATGAAACAAACAGCTCCTCAAGATCAGGATCCCTTCAAAGAGCCATTTATACCATCTCTACAAAGTAGAGATTTCTGACTCTAATATGYAACATAAAGTTTGGAGCAAACCAAACACAGCATGTCTGCAAAAAACACCACACCAAACTCCTAGGCACGGTGGTGGAGGGGTGATGATTTGGGTCTGTTTGGCAGCTAAAAARGCTGGGTACCTTGCAGCACTGAGAATAAACTCTGAATGTGAAAGTGTTTAAAGTTAAATATAAGGCTGTCTAGGTGTGAGTGAGAGAGTGAATGGTTGTCTGTCTCGTTTGTCTCTATGTGTGGCCCTGTGATGGACTTGCGACCTGTCCAGGGTGTACCCCGCCCCTCGCACTGTGACTGCTGGATATGGGCACCAGTGACCCACGCGACCCTGAAAAGGAAGAAGCGTGTACAGAAAATGGATGGATAAGGCTGTCTGATAAACAAAAGCTGTCTGAAACGGGTGCATGCAAMYGGATAACAAACTAAAACACAGCAGCAAATCTACAACAAAATGACTGAAAAAGAAACTTGCAATGACCAAAGTCCAAGCAAAAATAACTGCAATGTGAGAGACTGATAAGATTACACCAAGATGATTCATTCAGGTTACTCCTATTAAAAGATGTTGTACAAGATAGCCAACCCCACTTAAAGAAACTCTAGATTTTACTTTCTTATATAAAAAAAACATAAAAGCACTCTGAGWGCACATTTCCACCAAGACTCTAAGATCTGAATGGTGAGGCAGATCACCACCAAAATGTAATCACTTGTTCTTCATGACAACCTCAACATATCCTGAAAATCCATTCATAGCTTGAGTAATCTTGTGCAGAGGCAGACAGACAAACCAGCACTACTAAAAATGTTACCTCCTTGGCTTGGAGGGGGTAATGAGTTTGAGATGTCCTTTATTGTTCATCTGAGGCCATATTTACCCAAATGTAGAGATCTTGTAACAAGATAATTTTCTGTCCTGATATGCAAAATTTATTAATTAAAACGGGGTATATTTAAAATTTTATGACTATATACAATTAAAAAGTACTCAAATTAGTTTTAAAATCTTCAGTATTTCTGTTTCATCTTAGTAGTTATGTAAAGGTAAAATCCATTTTCTATTGCAGGAGGGAACATCCAAGCACTTTCAAGATGTGTTTTCTTTGATTATTTCATCGTCTGCATGACTTCCTGTTGYCATGTGTTTATTATTTTTCTTTAAGTTGTGCTGTCTCTGTGCTTGCATGTCATATGCCCAGGCCCTATCCACACCTTGGCCCTCGATCCTGCAGGGCTTCCAGTCTGGGAGGGGGAAACGYCCAGCTACCACTAAGGCATCATCAGGAAGCTCGGTCTGCAATTTCTCCTGCAGCAATGAAAGCTAGGAACAAAAGAGAACAATAGATTTTTTATATRGTCTAAAAGTGACAGGCTTATAGTGCTATAATTCCTTTTAACCACCTGACTTAAACAGATTATAAGTGGAATGATGCGTTTTCATGAAYGAAAATAAGAGTAAGAGTATTTAGTAGGTTGGGGTTGACATTTCAGTAAGTCAATTTGCTTGAAGGTCTTTTGGTTTCAAAACAAACATATAACTTCCTAACATGTCTGCAACGGATACACCGCTCCTCCTTTACTTATTATATTACTCACCACACTAGGAGCCAAAAACACWGTGACATTCTTGCATTTTGTCAAGTCGACCTGTGAAGTAGCAGAATATAAACACACCAACAGATTAAGCATTTCAAATACAAACATCTGAGCAATTATCACAGCAAAAACAATGAACTGTTTTTTTTGTTTTAAAAGAAATGTGAAAGTTGTGTTTACTTACGTATTTACTCTTTTACCATTCCAAAAATTCACACAATAGCAAAATAAATAAAATAAAATAAAATAAATATAATAAAGATAATCTAAAAAGCT